CCTGAAGTACAAGTTTATATGTCTTCAATCTGAAGTACAAGTTTATATCTTCAATCTGAAGTCCAAGTTTATATATCTTCAATCTGAAGTCCAAGTTTATATATTTTCAATCTGAAGTACAAGTTTATATATCTTCAATCTGAAGTCCAAGTTTATATATTTTCAATCTGAAGTACAAGTTTATATATCTTCAATCTAAAGTACGAGCTTATATATCTTCAATCTGAAGTACAAGTTTATATATCTTCAATCTAAAGTACGAGCTTATATATCTTCCATTTGAAGTACTAGTTTATGCGTCTTCAATCTGAAGTACAAGTTTATATGTCTTCAATCTGAAGTACAAACTTATATATCTTTAGATCAATCATGCTACACAAAGCTTTGTCCAATCACGTGGCTGTAGCAGAACAGCTCGCGTTTGATTATATTATCGGAAATCTAGAGTTTATTACCTCTGAAAGTTCAGTCAGACCATGACATCGAACTCCATATCTGTGGCCCAGATTTTTGTTAAGGACGATAACTGCTCTCTTTGAGTGATGCATAAATTAAACTCCAGGTGTTTTCAGCCGCGGCAAAGCGGCTCATAAAATGGCTCCGAGTTTTTCAAGTACAAACTTTTAGCTCGTACCTTCGTCATCTCTTCACCGATTTGAGATCTTATTACAGTTTTGGACTCAGGTGATCAAACCCTTTAGATTGATGTATTTGACCACGCCCAAGGTTTCATAGATTAATTTACTCTAATTTTGCGAAGAAGAATTTTAGTTTGAGGGTAGGCTGGTAGAGATCCTGATGAGTAATATAATCGAATCAGATATACGTGCGCCCCACGCTTGGTATTGCTGGTGCACAAAATATAGGTAATAAAAAGAAGAAAAAAAGGCCTCATAGATTAATTTGCTCTAGTCCTGCCTAGAAGAATTTTAAGTGTCGCGGTTATTGAGGATTCCCTCTTGTTTTTTTATTTATCTCCTGATCTACATTATAACAGAAAAAGTGTTAATAAATGTTGTCGTCGTATGATATTGTGTTCGAATACAAGAGTTTGTGTAAAAATGCACCCAGAATAGTCCAGGTAAAAATATAAGACGCTGAAATATCAAACGTTTTATCACGAAGTTATTCTTGTTTGAGTGGTTGATAATCAAAGCTTCGTCCACCAAAATTTCTCAGACTTGTTGAAATTTATTAAATTTCTAAGTTTGAAGTAAATTTCCTAGGTTAAAAACTGTAATTGCAAAAAGTCATTAAGCCTTGTGAACTAGCTGTACTGGACTGTAGATTAACATTAATAAACAATTGAACGAAGTTTCCAAACTTCCTTATGGCCAAGTGTGGATCACGGATCAGTGAGCTCGTACTGTGAATCTGAGAATTCTAGGTTTGGGTCCCGATACCTTAAACACTTATTCCACACTTTGGGACAGTAAGTGCGATGACAGTCAAATCTCATTATTAGGTCAGACAAGACTAGCCCAACAGTTGGCGGTGAGCACTGTTAACTATTTGCTTTCCCTCCAGTGTGTCAGCTCAATATTAGGGTTAGTGTAGATAGCCCTTTGTATAGCTTAGCGAAAAAATTCTAAAAAACACCCAAACATATGTACACAATTTACACTCCAATAGACAAATAGATATAGATAAACAAATTTTACAATTTCTATTTATAAAACAAGGATCAGGCATGGCCTAGTGGTTAGCGTTTGATCTGTGGACCAGAATATCCAAGGTTCGAGCCGTAATATCCTGTTGCACACGCCTCGAATTTTGAATTGTTGGAGTATAATAAGTGAAGCATTCAATCCTGCTCGTTAGCTAAGTGAAGATATGTTGGCGGTGGATGCTTCTCACGGGTTTCCCTTCCTTTGTCCAGCAGTTCTAATGTGTGGCTATGCCTGAATCTTATGGTTCTTTATTTGTATTCATCTTCATCAGTGTCTAGTCTTATTACACAACCAAACAGGTTTATTTGTATTAATCTTCATCAGTGTCTAGTCTTATTACCCAACCAAACAGGTTTATTTGTATTAATCTTCATCAGCGTCTAGTCTTATTACACAACCAAACAGGTTTATTTGTATTCATCTTTATCAGTGTCTAGTCTTATTACACAACCAAACAGGTTTATCTGTATTCTCCTGAGCGGTAAGTCTGGGGGCTCACACCGCCTAAATCTAATCGCAAAACTACATAATGGGGTATCTGCGCTGTACCCACTGAGTGTTATATATAAGTTCTCTAACTTACCATTGAGCCCGAAGGGAGATGGGGGGTGTCAAACAGGAGGTGGTATGAAGACGTATATCTATCTAGTTGTCTTACTGACTCATTATCTAGACTAGAGAAGAGAGATAGTCTGTAACATATCGAACCATTATCATGACAACAGGGAAACTAGTTGTAATACTCAATATGGTCGGTTCAACTTACTGATCCTTAACCACCTCCGAGGATATTAGAAATATTGTGACGACTATGTTTAAGGATCCTGCTTGTCTAAAGTTCAGGTTTTATTAGGAACTGGTTATGAATCTGATGTATATTTACAGATAGAAACAACCGCTTCGGAGGTTCTACAAGTGAAACAGAAAATCGCCATCGTTCGCGGTCAGCGTTGTGCGATCATGAGGGACCTTCCTCTGTACGAAAAAGCTCTTCGAAACTATAGTTTTTTGGTAGAGCGTCCATCATGGTATGTAGAACAAAGAAGGAATAAATCCAAAAGTTGTTCTGGAAAACGAAATTCAAAGAAAAATCCAGGTAAGCTATAATGATTCTAATCTTGCGGAGCATAATTACATCTAATTATATTTGTCATAAGACATTAGTGTTAGGCCTATTAGATTTTCAAACGCTGTATTCTTTATCTAGTCCCTTATTATACACTCCCAAAGTGACTAGGTAAATAATATAGTGTTAGAAAATATAAATAGGCCTAATGCTAATGTCTGGTGACAAGTATTATTATATCTAATTATACTTGTTATAAGATATTAGTGTTAGGCCTATTAGATTCTCAAACGCTGTATTATTTATCTAGTCCCTTATTAAACACTCCCTAAGTGACTAGGTAAATAATATAGTGTTAGAAAATATAAATAGGCCTAATACTAATGTCTGGTGACAAGTATTATTATATCTAATTATACTTGTTATAAGATATTAGTGTTAGGCCTATTATATTTTCAAACGCTGTATTCTTTATCTAGTCCTTTATTAAACTCTCCCTAAGTGACTTGGTAAATAATATAGTGTTAGAAAATACAAATAGGCCTAATGCTATGTCTGGTGACAAGTATAATTTAAGCTATTAAAACTGTTTAGTGTAGTTAACCGTAACAGTTATTAGTTGTATTTCTAATATATTACTAAAGTTCAAAATAATAAATTGTGCTTGAACAGTAAATAATACTGACATTCTAACAATAGTTTTCACAAACAATCAAAACTTTCGTTGTTAAAAAAATGACTTCACGTTCTTCTTCCTTATGCTTCAGTATTTTTATTTCCATATCTGTTGTTGTTTTTATGAAATATTTTTGTTCATTATAAAATCAGGAAGTCATGTGACAATCACAGCCAACATAAAGTCGTGATGGAACGGCATGTATCAGAACTATATGTTGATTTTTTTATAGTGTTTGTAGCTGTATTTTACTGACTACAGTGAATCTTTGCTCATATATAATTTGGAGAATATGTAGCATTGATGCTTCATTCCTAGTTTGCCTCTGAAGAAGAAAGGTCCACCTTTCGAAAGCACTCGGGTTATAGGGTTTTATCATTTAGCATTCATGCCACTTATTTATTCTTCTGTACTTTCCATCAGACAATCTGTTTGAAATACTCAAAATCAATACAAAGCCCAATGTATCATTCGATTCACCAGTTGTCACTAAGTTATACCTTATTTAGGATTACAGATGAGGGATGGAAATCCCCGAAATCGATTAAACGCATTGGCAAGTGGTGAATCAACTGATAGATGGCGCTTTATATCTTGACATTACTTGGCGTTACGTAGGTGGTCTTTTCCAACTCAAAATATTCATAAACTCAGATCCTAAAGATGTGTACAGTTTGGTGATTTAAAATTTCCTAGACGAGGATACCCATTGTTCTTAATGACATTGGAAAGCTAAGAAATATGAATCAACTTAAGCCACTAGAACCACCCAGAAAGAGACCTGCAACAAGTCCCTAGCCGTGGTAAGCAAAATTCGGAGTCTTGTGAAACTTAAGAATCCACGAACACAACGGTCAGTGGCAAAAGTCGTCCACGTGTCCCAGGCAACTGTTTGAGAAGTAATAAAGAAGGATCTCAGTCTATAAGCGAAGCCAACAGAGTATAGGTTCACCAGTATAAGGCTTCCAGCCATATCTCCCGTTCAAGCGAGCATACTTACTTCAAGCAGCTGAAGAACGAGACAAGTATTCATTCTATTCCGTACAAATACCTACCGGTCCAGTCGACGGAGGTGGTGTCTATGTAGTTCTGGGATTTCAGACTGTTTAAAAGGACGCTGAGAAACTGTCATCCTCGTACACTGTATAGGTTATGGAAAGCCTGAAGGAAGGAGTAATGTGCTTTGAACATGACAGTGTTACAACGGAGCCCTTTACAATAAAAACTACGCTTCTGAGATATCGTCAAGATGTATGGTCGGAAGATAAAACATAGCCGGACGCGGCGACATGGACTGTAAGGACGTGGTGAGTCTCCAAAATAGTTTCATACAATGTACTCAGCTCCCTGTATATCCAACAAATCAGGATTCTAAGAAGTCTCTAATATTATATGGCATGAAATTTATAAATGGATCGTTTTAATCTACGTACCATAGACATGTTTCTGTAGAAGTGCTTACAGAAACTTAAATAAAGTTTTTGAAGTAAACCAGTACTTGAACAAAACATTTACCCGTGGGAACCCAACTTTTGCTTCTGACGATATCGAACCCGGTTTCATATGCTAAATAAGAGCTCTATCATTTGAACTGAAAGTGTATTGTAATTTTTTCTCGTCAAAATCTGCTGGTTTTTGATTTGCATTGAAAGTTAAGCCTAAATATTGCTTGTCTTTCTGTAGACTATTGTACTCTTAATTATTTGATTATTTTCAGATAGTGGTTTCCGTTCTAATAAGTGGCAGCTTATGCTATGCATGACCTTCAGTATAAAAGACCTAACACACTGTATAAATAAGAAGGAACTAGGCCAACTTTCGGCATCACAGAAGGTAAGCACAAATATTACCATAATTTAACTATTACTTGCACTATGAGCAATAGTATATGCAGAAGTAGAGACTTGATGGTATAAACCCACTGTTGCGTCAGCGAGATCACGTGACTATTGGCACGCCACCTATTTTCTAGAAGTATCTTGTTCCTTCGTGAATGCCCTAGCATTTACTAAATATGTGTTTTTCTGGTATATAAATAAGACGCTCACAACGTGACGCGATAATGTGTGTGTAGATAGTGAGTAATTGAACTGCAGTCAGAAGTATTGTTGACGTTCGTTGATATAGCGTTTGTTATAGAGCGATTGTTGAAAATAAGTGTATCGTAAAGTTGTATTCGGAAAGAATAAACCAGTTTTATTAAGTAAACACTTGTGTCGCTAAAGTTTCGTCGGAACGAAGTTACGGAAAGTTAATTAACAAACGGAAACGTAACAATATATAGTATATGCAGAAGTAGAGACTTGGTGGTATAAACCCACCATAACACCCTAAACTACAGAACATATCACTATCACTTTCAGAGGATGACATATTTCTCACAAGAACGTAATGATTTACCCTAGTCTATATATATATTTTGTTCCTTTTCTGAATTACAAGGTTCTGACAAGTAATCCATCTAAAGTGTATGTAGGAGACAAATTGTATCGTCAGTTCCCCATCTAAGGTGTATGTAGGAGATAAATTGTATCGTCAGTTCCCCATCTAAGGTGTATGTAGGAGATAAATTGTATCGTCAGTTCCACATCTAAGGTGTATGTAGGAGACAAATTGTATCGTCAGTTCCACATCTAAGGTGTATGTAGGAGATAAATTGTATCGTCAGTTCCACATCTAAGGTGTATGTAGGAGACAAATTGTATCGTCAGTTCCACATCTAAAGTGTATGTAGGAGACAAATTGTATCGTCAGTTCCTTACAATAAATTACACTGATTTAATGTTAAAAGTCTTTTGACACAAATTACTCATTTCTGCACAGAATTCTGACTTATAACATTTCACGTGGAATACTTGGAAGGAGTAATCAGGTTTTCATACAAGAATTCTGACTTATAACATTTCACGTGGAATACTTGGAAGGAGTATTCAGGTTTTCACACAGAATTCTGACTTATAACATTTCACGTGGAATACTTGGAAAGAGTATTCAGGTTTTCACACAGATTTCTGACTTATAACAATTCACGTGGAATACTTGGAAGGAGTATTCAGGTTTTCAGAAAATTATTCATCCTTATGGACTCCTATACAAAAAATAAACAATTAATTCAAACAAAAGAATGTGCATGTGTTGCTTGTTCATAAGACTGGATTAATTAAAACCAGTTGTTTAAAATGTCGAAACAAATTGACTGCCATAAGAGAATATATCACTATACTTGTCATACGACATTAGTATAAGGCCTAATTCATTTTTAAACACTACATTTTTTATATATATTTCCTTAGTAATTTTTTTCCAGAATTAGAAGAGCGTATAATAATAGTATTCCAACCATACCCTATTCGCCGTTTCACTCAATCCAGAGCTCTTCAGGCCTAGTGGGGTACAAGAAATACAGTAGTGGCTAGAACACTGTTTGATACAACAGTAGTTTTTATGGTTTTTACGCCTTTCATAAGCCAGCAAAGAATTATTACAAATACATGTATAGTTGTCATAAGACATTAGTATTAGGCCTGTTATATTTTTAAACACTACATTTTTAATCTCGTCCCTTGGGGATTTTTAACAATTAGGAGAGTGTATAATAATAGTATTTCAACCACACTATATTTATTTTTATTACTGTTATTATTATTAACTCTGCCTATAAATTCAGAGCGCTCGTCGCTGGAGAATGGTAAGAAAATATGATGGGGACATATCGGACTACTTAATTTCATCCCAAGTTTTAGCCTAAAAAGTCATCCATTTTCTTGTCAAATCTGAGGTATGAATATTGTCCAAAAATTGACTAAATCATTGTGGTTTAAAACATTTTCTTCTTTAAATGTATGTGGGTTGATAAGTTTCTGTTGTTGATAGCAGTTATATGTAAACTACTTCGTGCTTAGCCGGAAAACAAAACAGAGTATTTGTAATAACGAATTAACACTCAATGTGCTGTTTTGTTTTTCTACATATCTTACTCATATCAGATTCACATTCTATGATTACATATAAATAAGGTGTTTTGTGATTCTAAAATACGTTTTTATGTGTGTGTGAATTAGATCAATCGAATCCCTGGAATCCGAGGTTTCCTCTGGAACAAAGAAGCGTTTTGTTCTACTGTAATGAAGGGTAAACAACTTTCAGGTAAGATAATAATGATCACCATGGTTACGTTAGAGGTTTACACAGTGATACTAATGGTCACCAAGGTTACGTTAGAAGATTAGTATCACTGTGTAATTACCGTGTAAACCTCTAACTTAACCTTGGTGATCATTAGTATTACCGTGTAAACCTCTAACGTAACCTTGGTGACCATTAGTATCACTGTGTAAACCTCTAGCGTAACCTTGGTGACCATTAGTATCATTGTGTAACCTCTAACGTAACCTTGGTGATCATTATTATCACTGTGTAAACTTCTAACGTAACCATGGTGATCATTATTATCTTACCTGAAAGTTGTTTACCCTTCATTACAGTAGAACAAAACGTAACCTTGGTGATCTACTAATGATCACCAAGGTTACGTTAGAGGTTTACACAGTAATACTATACTTTCTTCTAAAATGAATCTTCACTTATTAAAGTGATGTTTCCTATTAAGCTAAACCGTTTTGCTTAATTGCGCTATTTGTTAGAACCACAGCTTGCTAAATGGTAGTTATTTGTTAGAACCACAGCTTGCTAAATGGTAGTTATTTGTTAGAACCACAGCTTGCTAAATGGTAGTTATTTGTTAGAACCACAGCTTGCTGAATGGTAGTTATTTGTTAGAACCACAGCTTGCTGAATGGTAGTTATTTGTTAGAACCACAGCTTGCTAAATGGTTGTTATTTGTTTGAACCACAACTTGCTATTATAAAACAACATACTTGTTAAGAATCAAACTGTTTTTTCTTGTGATTTATGAGTTTAGAAAATAAGCAATACCATAAATAAATGTTTTATGTCTTTGATCTAGAAATTAAGATATAATATTCCACCTGTAAATATGAAAGTATAAAACAGTTGAATATCCACTTAACGCCGTTTGGAGATTGGGTAGTTTAAAGACTGATATTTTACCATATTTCAGTTCATTAACAGCTATGTTTTAATCAAAATAACCTGGTTTAAATTTTGCAGCCTCCTTGCGGCAGCAATCGGTACCGCTGTGTTTTTCTTTACCGGAACAACGTCAACAATTCCAGGAAGTTGCGCAGGCTTTCGGCCCCTCAACTCAGTGGTTTTTAAAATCGGTGTCTTCGGTTGACCGAAGTGGTCCGAAACAGTTGGACATATTCTCACCAGAGGGCCAAAAAGAACTTGAGAAGTAAGTAAGGCCGGCTTAGAAAACAGAAAACTGTGAGTACGTGCACATGAACAAGAACTTAGTTGCAGTATTTTTTATATCACAAAAATAGAGGGTACGGGCGACCCCCCCCCCTTGCGTACGTGCACGACTTTCCTGTTTAAAGTCTAATAATAAAATAAGGATGTCATTTCTCAATTGTGGAAAATAAAATTTTAATACAACTTTTTAGAATAATGATGGATTCATATTTCAATTTGGAATTATTTTCAAACTAAGATGTTAACTTTTTCGCGTATTAAAGCTTTAATAACACATTATCATAAACTAGCAAGCAGTTATGTGGTAGTTTTAGTTTAATTTACATAATCTTGTTAATAGTAGGATCAAGAGATGGATTTAGAAAACAAAATAAATTTACAACTCATTTTTTTCAGTCAGATTATTTTATTTTCATTGAAGTAATCTTACAAATGGATGAAATATTCAGGAAATAAAAAACATTACAAGCACATCCCGCCAGGTGTCACATTTAGTAACTGGCGAATAAAACAGAATATAATTCTTATTGACGTTTACCCTGTGTCACCTCTTCTGATTGGTTCTGCGAGCTTTCTTATTGACGTTTACCTTGTGTCACCTCTTCTGATTGGTTCTGCGAGCTTTCTTATTGACGTTTACCTTGTGTCACCTCTTCTGATTGGTTCTGCGAGCTTTCTTATTGACGTTTACCTTGTGTCACCTCTTCTGTTTGGTTCTGCGAGCTTTCTT